TTATTGATTAGTATCCAGGTACTAATCAAAAATTTTATTTTTTGTAATTGAATAGTACCTATTACTAATCAAGGGGGTATTTTACAAGGGGGGTACTAATGTCAGCACTGTACGGTAATAGTAAATCAACAGCTACTTGGATTCAGCAGATAGCAAAATGTGTATTAATAATGTTTTACCTTCATTTTGTTAGGAAAAACATCAGAAAATCAGTAGAATTATTGATGATGAAGATACTACTAATATATGCCATAATTGAATTCAAAAAAATGGAAGCCATATAACTTTACATCAATTTAAAGAATTTGTTCAAGACATATTATTACCAAAAGCAGGTATCAATAAAAATGTGATTATTGTAAGTACTGCAAGGTGATGGTTAATTATGCTTGGATATTATTATCAGCAACAAAAATAAAGAATATATTATGATAGGTATGAGAGAGATAATGTTGTAGAATATTAAAAAGAGTTTTTATCAAAAATGGCTGAACTTAAAAATATATGGCAATATATGAAGGAGATGATATGAAGAAAATTGCCTCTTTATTAACCCCAAAAGAAAAAGAATATATATTAATAGTTTATGATGAATGCATTTTTTACTCAAATAATGGAAAACGTGAAATATAGGCTAAGTCAAGTGAATTACTATTACACAAAAAAGGTAATGAAAAATCAATTATAGTAAGTGAATTTTTAACTGAAGCTTGTGAAAGATTTAAACTAACTGCTAAACAAATTGAGAATCATCCTAAAGTTCTGGAAAAAGCAAGAGTATATTTAAAATCAGGAAAGAATAATGAAGGATATTGAACAGCTAAACATCTTATTGAGCAGGTTGAATATAAAGCCATTCTTATATTTGAGGCTTTATTTTCAAATTGTATTAGAGTATTTGTTTTTGATAATAGTTCAAATCATTCTGCATTTGCTTTTGATGTATTGGTTGCAAAAAGAATGAATATTAGACCTGGTGGAAATGCATCAAAAATGCATGATACTTTTTGGGATTCAAATAATGAAAGATAAAGTATGAATTTTTCTGATAGTCGGCCAAAGGGTATAAAACAAGTTTTAATTGAATGAGGATTGTGAAAAAAAATATGATAAGAGAATGTAAGTTATATAGAAATAAAGATGATAATCCTCTATGCGTAGATTGCTGTAAAAGGTGGATTATATCTTTTTAACCAGATTTTTTAGCTCAAAAATCTGCATTGGTTGAAACAATTGAAAATGCTGATCATGTTTGTATATTTTTTCCAAAGTTTCATTGTGAATTAAATTTCATTGAACGCTATTAGAAAGCAACCAAATGATATACACGAAATAATTGTAATTACACATGAAATGGATTACAAAAAATGGTTTCTCATGCTTTAGATTCTGTAGATTTAATAACCATTCGTAGATTTGCAAGAAAGATATGGATTTATATAGGCATGGGATTACAGATAAATTAGTGGAATATGCTATTAAAAAATATAAATCACACAGAAAAATTCCTGAAAATGTATTAGAGAAATTAAATAAATAAAATATTTTTCAGCCTTTTTAAAAACTTTTTTGTTTTAATTTCTTATGATTTAATAAATTAAACTAGTTGATAATTCGTGTTGATCACATGATAATTTATTCACGTGACTGTTTTTGATTGGATAAAAATCATGTGATCTATTATGATCGGCAAAAAAAAAAATTTGGACTGTTTGCCTTTTAGATGATCTGCACCATAGCAAAAATTGAACTTAGGATCATCAAGTGGACTTTGTAGAAATAGACCGATACTTATAAATAATAATTTAATGATTTATATTTTTATTATATTATTTTTTTTTAAAAAAAATTCTTCAAGTTGCATGTATAGTAGTTTAAGAAATTTGTGATAAAAACCAAGAACATTTAAATTTTATATTTTTTGTGAATTAATCTAAAAATTCAAAGAGGATTGATAATTAAAAAGATCATGTTTGATCACAATATCATCCCAAATTAGTTTAAATATATATCTTATATAATCTACTTATTCAGACGGATTCAAATTGCTAGACAAGTTGGTTGGATCAAATCCTATAAAAAATTGATAATTATTAGTAATGGTTATTTATATGTTTCTTAAGCATATTTATGTAAATCGTACCTGGCATTGGGAAACATGTAGAAAATGATTCCACTTCCTTCTTCAGATTGGATATGTCTTCATTATCTTGACATGCCAGCACAAAATCTTTCATCATTTTACTACCCGCTTTTTCCTATTTTTTTTTTTTTTTTTTTTTTTTAAAAGAAAAGGTCAAATTATATGATGTATCGAACATAAAGATGTTTCAAATTTATAAAAGATTTGTCAAACCTGAACAAAGATAGCAATTTGAATAGCGCGATGCAAATATTCTGCAACTTTGACGAAATCTTGCTCCTTAAAACTTCTTGATGTCAACGCAGAAGTTCCAAGACGTACACCACCTGGTGCCAACATGTTGACATCACCGGGAATAGAATTCTTATTTACAGTGATACTAAATCATAATCACAAATTAATCATAAAATATAAGAGAGAAAGATAGGTATAGAAATATAGGAATTTTATATACGTACTTAACCATATCACATATCTTTTCTACCTTACTACCGGTAAGCTTAAGGGGTTTCAAGTCCAAGAGAACAATATGATTATCCGTACCACCAGTAACTAATTTATAACCATGACCGATAAGTGCTTCACCTAAAGCTTTAGCATTAGCACATACTTGTTTAGCATATTGTTGGAATTCTGGGGTAGCAGCTTGTTTTAGTGCAACTGCGATAGCTGCGATAGTATTGTTGTGAGGTCCTCCTTGACATGAAGGAAACACGGCATTATTGACGCGAGTTTCCAAATCATCCTTTTTACGGAAAAATATTAATCCCGCACGTGGTCCTCGGAGAGTTTTATGAGTAGTAGTTGTAACCACATCACATAATTCGAAGGGATTTTTGACCTCTTTTCCGGCAACTAAGCCACTAGTATGAGCAATATCGGCCATTAAATACGCGCCGTGTTGATCGGCGATCTTTCTCAATTTAGCGTAATCCCAGTCACGTGCGTACGCACTGGCTCCGCATATAATCAATTTTGGGCGAAAGAGACTAGCATTTTCCTCAAGGCGAACATAATCAATATAACCTGTTTCCGAGTTGACTCGGTATGGCATAGATTCAAAATATATAGAAGAAGTAGATATCTTCTTCTTAGAGGTTTGCCAACCATGTGTTAAATGTCCTCCTGAAGGCAAGTCTAATCCCATCAAACGATCATGAGGCTGGATCAAAGCTGTCAATGCCGCAAAATTGGCGGTACTTCCGGAATAAGGTTGAACATTAACGCCCCATTCCTCGGGACTTAAATGAAACGCCTGTAGAGCTCGTTTACGACAAAGATTCTCGATTTGATCGATAAACTCATTGCCACCATAATAACGGGCTCCAGGAAGACCTTCAGAATATTTGTTTGTTAACGGAGACCCATTGGCTTCCATAACCGACATGGAAGTAAAGTTCTGGTAATCAAGACATAATCGGATTTGATAGAACATTATTTCGTATCCGTGTATCAGCTTTTTTCTTTTTATTTTTATTCAAAATATATCTATTACATAAAAAAAAATAAACTGTTGGCTTATACCTCCGAAGCGATTAGTTCTAAACCAGAATATTGTCTATATTTCTCCTTTTGAATTAAATCATAGATGTCTTTGTCTTCCTCTTGCAAAGGAACATTAAGGAAACCATTCTGTGATAAAGCAATGTTAGTGAGACATAACATACAATTATGAAACCTTTAAGATTATATATATTAATTACTAAATTACCCAAGAATCAACTTCACGAGACATTTTGGTATATTCAAATTTGGGATATAAATTTTTTTTTTTTAAAAAATTAAAAAGATTAAAAAAAATTTTTTTTTTTATTGATTAGTCAACTTCGCAAAGATTATAAATATTATTTGATTGGCTAATTTAGATTTCATTTCCTCCGCCACGAGAAAATTATTGATCTAATTTTTTTTTTTCAGGAAAAAAAATTTTTTCGTCTTGGCCCTTTGTAAACCTTTTAATTGTTTGATATTTACCATTTAATCCGGAAAAAAAAAAAATGGCACCTATCGGTGTAAGTAATTTAATATATTCTCTGTGGAAAGCATGCGTGTTTCAATAAAAATGAGAAAAATAAGGGTTTTTTTTTTCTTTTTTTTTTTGAATCTTTTTTTTTGTGAAATTGCAAGCTGCTTTAAGAATTTACATAAAAGAAATCATGAATTCTCTAAGAAATCAAACGTGTTCAGAATATAAGCAGCGAAAAAAATTAAGTAATGGTGCTTGAGAACATGATAGAATATTAAGAATAATCAGGCTATAAAATATGCATTTAAGAGTTCGTCTTCTTTCGGGAATTCTAATAATCGTGATATTTCTTCTTTAATCTTGTTTCTATAACTAATCATTTTATTCATTTTTTACATTTATCTCATTTTAGAAAATCTACTGTTATCCTAATAATCCTCGTGTCTTCAAGATTCTTATTGCCGCACAATATAATGAGCTTGAAGTAGAGGTTGCCGAATTTGAACTCGGTACAGATAACAAGAAACCGGAATTTTTGGCAAAATTCCATAATGAAAAAGTAAGCGGGAAGAGATATTTTTTTTTTTTTTTTAAAAAAAAAAAAAATTAAAATTATATATAATATATATATATATATACCAAAATCGAGATAAAATATGAATCAAAATTATTTATGTACAAGTGCCATGAAATTATTTGTTAATTTAATCATGACGACATACGCGTTCATATTATGTTGAAATTCATCTGTAGAAATTATTTTCGCGTATAAATTTAACATTATAGGTTCCTGCTTTTGAAAGTACCGAAGGTAGCATCTACCTTAATGAATCCGGAGCAATTGCGTATTATGGTAAGAACAAAGTTATAAAAATGTATATTTATATATTTACCAAAGAAATGTTGTCGAATTGAATTTATTTATTATATATTGGATCGATATGATTCTTTTGACACTTGCTTTATATGATGAGAAATATCTTAAAACAGTTATCCCTGGCTGAAATTTCATATGATCGAAAAAGTTTTTTCTGAAGCAATCAAAATAATAACGACATCAATTAGAGTTTAATATTATTTGATTTTGATCTCAATTCTAACGATATTCATCTGAATAAAACTTTAGTTGCTAGTCAAAAAGAAGGTACCCAGCTGCTAGGAAAGGACAAAACAGAAATCTCACAAGTTTTACAATACATCCTCTTTGCCGAAAATGAAATTACTCCTCACGCTAATACTTGGGTTAACCCAATTTTAGGCATAACTTCATATAATAAAGCTGTAATTATACCTTTTTTTTAAATCGAATTCATCTTATTAATGTATAATAATTAATGATTCTGCTTGCATTTGCATTTATAAGGCCCATAACCAAGCAGTAGATGGCTTGAAAAAATCCTTGGGTATTTTGGAAAAGGTCTTGTTAAATAAGACTTTTTTGGTCGGTGAAAGAATCACATTGGCAGATATTGCTGTTTCAACTTCCCTTTATTTGCCTTTCAAGTTGGTATTGGATGCAGAATTCCGCAAGAACCACCAAAACCTTAGTCGATGGTATAATACACTTATCAATCAACCTGCTTTCAAGAAGGTATTGGGTGAAATTACCCTTGCAGAAGTTGCTGTTGCATATACTCGTATGTCAAGCATATCTTTTATTTACTCATTTGTATATATCATGCCATTTCTAATTTTTTTTTTTTTAACAAAATAAATAAATAATTAGCACCAAAGAAAGAGAAGAAAGAACCCAAGAAAGAAGCCAAACCCAAGGAAAAAGAAGTTGAAGCCGAAGTAGAAGAGGAAGAAAAGCCTGCTCCTAAACCTAAGAGCAAGCTAGATTTTTTGGATCCTAGTCCATTGAATTTGGAAGAGTGGAAACGGGTTTATTCTAACAATGACACTCGTCCAACAGCCATTAATTGGTTCTGGGAAAATTTTGATCCGAAAGGTTATTCTATTTGGCGTGTGGATTATAAGTATAACGAAGAATTAACCAAAGTATTCATGAGTTCTAATCTTATTGGTGGTTTCTTCAACCGATTGGAAAGAGCTCGTAAATACGCATTCGGAAGTTTAGTCGTTTTGGGCGAAGGTTATAATCATATGACTTTTGGTTACTCATTTATATTCTTAATTTTTTCATTAACCTTTTTTCTTTTTAATTACACAGACAATGCAAATTCAATTTCTGGTTATTTTGTAATCCGTGGACAAGAAATACCAGAGGAAGGTTTGTTTCCGATTATCCTTTTCCATTATAATTTTCCATGTACTTTTTGGAAATAAAATATATTTTAATTATTTCATATTTTTAGTGAGTGATGCTGCGGATTACGACAGTTATAACTTCCAAAAGGTAGATCACACAGATTCTGCAGTTAAATCAAGTTTCGAAGATTTTATTGTAAGTTCATACACTTTATATGAAAATATGTAATTTATGAGATTAAATCAATAAATATTAATTATAATTTTTATAGGCTTGGGATGGGCATCTCGATGGCAAAAAATTCGCAGATGGTAAAATCTTCAAATAAAAAAAGGTTCATTAATATTATTTATGACTTGTATCCCGTCTTGCTTAAAATTGTAGTTTTTTTTTTTTAAAAAAAAAAAAAAAAAAAAAAAAAAAAAAAAAAGATTAAAAAATTTTCATAATTCCCTATTATTTGATGATGTTTGTTTACTTTCAATTAAAAAAACTTCTTGTTTGGTGAAATCTCAATTTATCAATTAATATAATAAAAGAGAAAATTCTCTAATGGTTTTTAAAACGCGTTCTTTGTTCCACAGAAATATATTAATTATAGCTAAATTTGGTGAAGGTCGTTCATTTCGACATAAAAATTTGTCAAAGGATCTGCAATTTCGCAGATTATCTGATGCGTGATCCTTTTTTCTTTCCGAATAAAAATATATATATATCTCGTTATGATTGAAATGATTTCTTCTCCTAATTGTGGATTTCACAGCACCACATTAACTTAATTAGTATAAAATAACGTAAATTTAAAAAATCTTAAAAGATTCGCTTGTATTACACAACAGTTGAAGAAAAAATCATGTCTGCGTCAAATTCATCACAGAAAGACGTATCTATTGCTTACTTTGGACCAGTAGGATCATATACGCATCAGGTATATTTTATTTTTCGTTTATTGCTTGCGATTTCTTAGTAAATAATGATTCTATAGGCTGCACTTGAAAAATTTGGTGATAGCGTGAGCTACTTTCCTCAGTCCACCATAAATGGTATGTGTCCCTCATTTATCATATTATGTTCAAAAACTTTTAAATTAATACAAATGTGTGCTTCATCGAAGATGTCTTTGATTCTGTCGAAAATGGACGTGTTACTTATGGAATTGTGCCTTTTGAAAATTCAACATACGGGTCAGTCATATCGACTTTAGATAGGTTCATTACTTGTAAGACGCAGATATTATCCGAGACGTATTTTAAGGTAATTCACATTAAACGCTCATCAAGAATCGTGTTAAATTTAAATGGTTTGACTAATAAAATTTTGCATTTATGAATATATATTTTTTTTGATATCGAAGATAAATCATTGTCTTCTTTCAAAATCCAATTTCTCCACTTTAAATAAGGTGTATAGTCACCCACAGGTACCTTTTTTTTTTTTTTTTTGATTGGATTTGGAAAAATTTTCCGAAATACGTTATGATATTTTATGCTCAGCAACATATTTGTCAACTTAGGGATTTGGACAATGTCAAAATTACCTTGATACGCATCTTAAAGGCGTCCAACGCGTGGATGCAATGTCCACAAGCAAGGCCGCAGAAATAGCGGCATCAGAACCTTACTCTGCGGCAATTGCAAGTGTCGTTTGTGCCGAATTATATGGATTGGACATATTAGAGAAGGATATACAAGATGCAAAAAGTAATATTAAGATCTTTTGTGTTCTTTTAATCGTTTGCTTTTTTTTAATTAACGAAATGTCAAATATTATTGTTATGTAAAGTCAATATCACGCGATTTTTCATCCTTGGATCTTCATCTGATATACCTTCCGATGATGATAAGACTTGCATACTTTTTACAGTGGATCACCGAAAACCTGGGGCGTTGTGTGACGCATTAAATAGTTTTAAAAGCCAAGACGTTAATCTGATAAAGATCGACTCACGTCCATCTTTACAACGACCTTGGCATTATGTATTTTTTATTGAAATACAAGGACATAAAGAAGATGAACAAGTTCAGAAGGCATTAAGTCAACTAAATGAATGCTGCTTAGACGTTAAATTATTAGGAAGTTATCCTAATCAAAGACCAGTTAATATATAAATGTATATTTATAGAATACTATGTAGCACTATAAGTTAATTACTTTAAAAGGGAGGTGGGGAAAGCAAAGTCGTTTAATACAGGAAATGATCGGAAAATTAGCTGAATCTTGAGAAATTGTTAACGACACGTTTTTCGCCTTGTTTGTGAATAGTTATATAAGGTAGTAAATAATGGATAAATGACAATAAAGCCTTTAAAAAGTTTTTATTTATTAAAAGCTAATTCAAATAGACAAAAAAATTTATGCTAGAATTTTAAACATAAAATAATGTAACAAATTCAAAGTTTCCAATGTAGAAATGGTCAATGGTTAACCGACGTCTTGATTGTTTCATAGAACTTTCTTGAAGAAGAAATTAAGTCTCTCACAAGTCAAATGGCGATGCAACTTAAAGACAAAGTGGGTAAATTGATATCATTATTTCGCCTGCCCATTATATACCATTAACATTTGTTCCCATAGGTTTCCGAAATTATCCGTCACTTAGCCCAGAACAAGAATTACATCGTATATGGAAATTGGTTATGTCGACAACGAAAGAAAAACGAAAAGTGTCACAAGTGGCAAAGTCAAGAATCACTCAAGAATTATCTAACAGTAACTCTAAGATTAAACGATTTTTTCAGCCAAAAATGCGAGAAATGCGATAAAAAAAAGATGATTTTGAGTTTTCGCCTATACAAGCAACAAAAAAAATTGGATGTGATACCCATTGACGTAGGTCAAATTGATTATGAAATATTCAATTTTCACATGATTTCTTGCTAAAATTTTACCTTTATAGAAAATGCCTCACATCGAGATTTTTTGTCATCTGGAATGGAGCAATCATTATAGAGTATTTGGCAAATGGAAATGTCGGCATTGCAGCAATAAGTGGAGAAGCGCTCATACCTGGATATCGCTTTAAAAGTTTATAGAGAAAACCCCAGGAAAGAGTTTAAGTCTAGATGATTTTTTCATGCAAAAATGCGTGAAATGTTTTTAATACGAGCTGCATTCTTAATTACAAACCTCTATTAAATTCATCTTATGAGAAAGATGATGATGTCAAACCTCATTTAGCTGAGTTATGTGCAAAGTGTATGAGTGGTCATTACTGTAGAGAAGCTGATATAGATCATATAGATTAACAAATTCGATAATGAACTTTGATAAAAGTTTTTTATATATACAGTCCCCGGCGAAAAGAATGGCGGTGGAAGACCGCATCTATTTTAGGCTGTAATTTCACCACTTTCCAGATTTAGGCATTTGTTTATATGCCCAAATCGGACATTGGAACCTGAATTAAAAAGGTAAGTTAAAAAAATAAGGTTT